TGTTTTATACTGTCATTTAATGTTTTAAGAAACATATCAGGACTCACCTGTTTACCGTTGCTTTTAAATAAGATTTTTTTGGTCAATTTCATCATTTAATTTTATTGTTTATATTTCATTGTCTTATTGTGGTGTTTTTACTGTTTTTGTATTTTTCTGCTTTGTTACCGTTTGCCTTGTAGTGCTTTGGTTCTGAGAAAAGCGCGCTATAATTAAAATTGATAACTATTGTTATTACTTACAAGACAAACACAGAATCCATGGCACTAGAATTGTAAATAAAAGCTAAATTGTAAACTTCTATCATTCATTTTCTTGTCGGCTTTGTCCCTTTATTAATCCGGGGTCGCCTCAGCGGAATGAACCACTAACTTATCCAGCAAGTTTTTTTTACGCAGCGGATGCCCTTCCAGCCACAACCCATCTCTGGGAAACATCCACACACACACTCATACACTACGAACAATTTAGCCAACCCAATTTACCTGTACCGCAAGTCTTTGGACTTTGGGGGAAACCGGAGCACCCGGAGGAAACCCACGCAAACGCATGCATGCAAACTCCACACACTCCACAGAAACGCCAACAAGGCTCGAACCAGCGACCCAGCGACCTTCTTGCTGTGAGGCGACAGCACTACCTACTGCACCACTGCTTTGCCTCAAATTGTAAACTTTACATTATCAAAGGTTGTTGGGGGCAGAGATCAATGTCCAATAATGCAATTTAAAGCGGAAATGCAGAGAAAACACCCACAAAACACAAATATGAAAATTTATTTATTAACCAAATTTTTATTATTTACAGTTCAATCCTATTTGAGGAATCACGACAGAAATAACGTTATCTATTAAATGCATGTTCTTCATCTGAACCACTTCAGCACCAGCACACATTAGTAAAGATTGTGTAATATGCAAGGGGACTATTAAGAAGTTGCTGTGACATTTCTGCTCTGCTCTTTCACCTACTTCCTTCTTCTGTTCTGGCATCTGCTGAGCTATCACTGGAATATACCACTTATTTTTTCGCCATTAACTCCCACATCTTTAAAGAAACATAAGAATAACAGGTTTGTGAACGTATGCGCAGAAGTAAGCAGTAGTTAACACTTGAAGTGAATCAAAAAGAATGAAAAAGAAAGTTTTCAAAAACTACAGAACAACACCCATTCTTGTCTTGGGAAAATTTTTAAAGACTCTTTGATCCACTTTTAATGTTGGTTAATATTCCTTTTTTTTCATAGTCAAGTCAATTTGTAGTGAAGTTCATTCATAAACTAATTTCGAGAGGATCACGTGCTTATGATTGACACGGCTGGCCCCGAGTCAAGCTAATGTACGAACCACCAATCAGACTACTCCTAACCAAGTATAAATAACCAAACACCTTACCTTTAGTCATCTTCGTCTTGAAGAATCCCCTCTTCCACCCCTTCGCCTCCTCCTTTGTCTACAGAGCAGCACGGCGGCCCAGTGGCTAGCACTGCAGCCTCACAGCAAAATGCCTCCGCTTCGGGCATCTACCCAAACGGTCAGCATTTTCGTGTGGAGTTCATGTTCTCCCCGTGCTTGCGTGGGTTTTCCCCGGGTCCTCCGGTTTCCTCCCACACTCCCAAAAACATGACACTTAAGTAAATTGACTAATCCAAATTAGCACCAAATTTGATTCAATTCTGTCAGCAACGCATCACCTTAGCAATCCTCACGCAGCAGGAGGGAGGGGGGTTCTCGAGATCTACCCGAGCTCAAACTCCCCTCTCGCCCTGCAACGGGAGGGAGCCCCGGGCTCGAGGCTCTCATGAGCTCAGGGCTCTCTCCCGGGACAGCATGCCAAACTAGCTTATTACCAATCATCAGCTAAGTGTGAACTCTTGAAAGCACATTTAAAAACACTGCCAATACCAAACACTACCAACACTGTACCGAAGTACTGTAGCAGACCTATAATAAGATTGTAATGTAGTGTAATGTGTGTATTTATATAGCGCAATTATTGTGTATGGCCATACACTCAAAGTGCTTCACAATATTGAGGGGGAAGGGTCTCACCACACCAGTGTGCAGCATCCACTTGAATGATGTGACGGCAGCCACAGGACTACAGCACCAGTTATAGGTAGAGTGGAGAGACAGTGATAGAGTCAATTCAGTAGATGAGAATGACTGGGAGGCCATGATGGGTTAGGGCCAATGGAGGGACTGTGGCCAGGACACCGGGTTAGACCCCAACTCTTTATGGGAAGTGGCATGGGATTTTTTTATTACCACAGGGACCTTGATTTACTGTTTCTTCCGAAAGATGGCGCTCACTGATAGTATGGTGTCCCCTTCACTTTTACTTCGGTATTTGGACTCGCACAGACCACAGATTGAGCACCCCCTGCTGGCCTCACTAACTTCACTTCCAACAGCTACCTAGTTTTCCCATGTGATCTCACATCCAGGTACTGTCCAGGCTCAGCCCTCTTTAGCTTCAGTGAGTAACCAGTCTTGGGCTGCAGGGTGATATGACTGTGGCTGAAAAGAGAAGAAACTTAATCTAAGTGTAAAACTACATAATTTTCCATTTTTCTTTGAAAGAACTCAACATGTCTGTTAAAGTAACTATTAGGCTAGCAATCTTCATGTGTTCATTTCTTTCAGTCTGATTCATCATACCATGTGCTTGTGTAAATCCTGCTATCATATAAAGACTTTGATGTTCATCTGATTAAACTGTTTGCTTTTTATGTTAACTTGTTTTCTGGTTATCAACTGTGACAATTATCCATCAGATATCTCTTCTTAATAAGCTGTTTCACCGCAAAACAAAGATTTTCTTTGAATTAACTCTCCCTCTGGGCATCCAAGATGTAGGTGACTTAATTTTTCAGTTGAAAATGAAAGATTTTTATTGACCCCGTGAGCCTTGTTGCTTGACAAAATGCACGTCAACAGCTACAAGCAAATAAAAAATAAACAAATAAAAACAGAGAAATCTAAATCAATCTGTTGCTCATGATAAAAAAAACTTGTGATCAGAAAAATAATAATAATCTAAAAAAATAACCAGAAACTGAACATTCTTAAAACATTATTGTCTTAGGGAAGATTAAGCACATTTTAATACATAGTCGTATGTCTGGCAAGTGTCCTGTAGGCTCGCCTAGGAAGCGTGTCTTGGAGGAGTTTACAAGAGTTAGGGCTGTTTATGGCCATCCGAATCTCTAATTACAGACACAAAAGCTTGCTTTGACAATTTTTAATTCCTATTCAGTTACTCAACTCAGTTTTGCGTAACCTACCCTTTAGTAATAATAAAATAAGTTTACTTCACCCTTAAAAAAGCTTCCAGAACCTGAACTTGATCAAAACTATTACTTTTATTTCAAAATTTTTAAGGCTCTTATATTCTAATCTTAAATCATACTGGGTTGCTTTGCTGAAATTGTTGAGTGTAGCCCAGTCCAAACTAGAAATGTTTTCATGATGTTGCATGATGCACTGACCGCAACCAATGTAAACCTATAAAGGTCAGCTCTCATTTAAGTATGTTCCCATGGGCTGTGTCTCCTACTGTGATTCTATCGTAGAACCATTACCACAATTGGTCTCTTCTTGCTATGATCAACTTAGCTTTTAGCTGAGAAATGCAACCAGGGACTGTTTGCAGAGTGCCATAAAAGTGCCATTGCAAGTGTCTTCATTCTTTCATTCATTCATACAATTTCCTTTAGCTTAATCCTTTTATTCATCAGGGGTCGCCACAGCCAAATGAACCACCAACTAATCCAGCATATTTTTACACAACGGATGCCCTTTCAGCTGCAACCCAGTACTGGGAAACATCCATACACACTCATTCACACACATACACTACGGCCAATTAAGTTTATTCAATTCCCCTATAACACATGTTTTTGGACTGTGGAGAAAACCGGAGGAAACCCATGCGAACACAGGGAGAACGTGCAACCTCCACACAGAAATGCCAACTGACCCTGCCAAGACTCGAACCAGTGCTAACCACTGAGCCACCATGTCACCCCCTATCAGTAGGTCTTGACTTTTTTTATGAAATAAATAAACACATTTGTTTGTTCACCAAAAACAAAAATAACTCACCAGTTACTTACCCTCAAGTGGTTCCAATTTTCTAGAACTTTCTTCTGTTGAACACTAAAGAAGACATGTAGAAGAAAGCCAAACCAGCAACTCTTGACGTCCATAGGAAAAACAAATACTAAGGAAGTCAATGGTTACAGGTTTCCAACATCCTTCAAAATATCTCCTTTTTTGTTCAACAGATGAAGAAAAGACAAAGAACAAGTGAAGGGTGAGTAATTTATGACAGTATTTTCATTTTTGGGTGATCTAGCTCTTTAAATTAAGCTGTGTTTCAATAAAAATAATAAAAATTTAAATAATTACTGATTAACTAACAATTTCCACCAATGGTTATTTGCAAGAAGTCATTTTATAAGATGAATAATGAAGTCATACTTGACATCATCTAAAGTACAACAATTTAACATCTCGGTTTTGTTTATTTTTATTAAAAATAAGTGGAAAAATAATATTAAGGGAAAAAAAACAGATTTTGTACTGCTTTTCATTTTTGGGTCAACTATTCCTATAAATTGTGTTTATAAAGTAAACACAATTAAAATGTAATTATGGTTCAACAATTTCAACTATCAATTTATAAGCTGGGTAACACAGTTGTGCTAATCAACTTTGCCTTGCTTATTCCAAAAAACAATGCATTATGTTTAGGGTTTACATCAGATATTTTGAAGCTTTCAACGTTTAACTTGACATCTAAATTACAATTAATTAACATCTTGGTTTTGTTTATTTTTATTAAAAATACGAGCAGAAAATAAAATATATTATAGGATATTTATGGTGAAAATAAAAAGAACTGATTTTCTACCTCTGTGCTTGTAAAAGTAGCAGATTGTGAGAAACCTTCACACCACATGGAGAACAGCATTCATTGAAATGTTTTGGTCTGAGTCAAGTCATGGGCTAAACTCACCTGACAAAGAACGCCGTAATATTGTTTGAACTATTACCGGTTTACGTCGATTACGTTAAGAACCTATCGTTAAACTTAAAATCAACACGGAGAAAGATTTGCAAAACGCAGATGACCGTCGTCCACGACTCTATCTCAAGGGTTGCAGGCAGTGCAAACTCATCTCGACTCTAATCTGCGTTCGATTGAGACTTCCTGTGTGGCAGAACTGAGAGCAGGCGAGCGCGTAATCAGCACTGCCTACAGACTAGTTCGCGGTAACACTCTCCAAAATTGACGCCTGGACCGACAAAAGTGCTCGTTTGGACTTCGTCGGGAATGAAACGCTTCATTCTAGCTATAATGTTGTTGGATAGACGCTGAGTGCGAGAATTACACAGCAAAGCGATCCTCGGTGCGGGTCAAGCACATCTCAACCCGACCAACTGAAAAAGGAGGAGAGGCCAAAAAAGACAACTGCAACTGGAGGAAAAAAGTGTCTACAATCTTCACGGATTGCCACAACGTCGAAGATTATCGTGACATGATGGCCACGGAGGAACTGTATGAGGTAAACGTCGGCGATTTTACCGTTTGCGTCCGTTTAGACGCAGTTAATCGATTATTTGTGTGTAGTTGCACATATACGACGCGTCCCAAGGCTCGTGCGGACTAGTCTTAACAACTGACTTACCCGTTCTAGTACTAGTTAAAACTACACCGGCAGGGTTCCGTGCTAGCAAAACAAACTAGTAATGTTAGCTTGGGGAAGTGTGGAGTGTGTAGTTGTTAGTTTGTGGAGTTTAGTGTGGAGAGATGCTGGTGGAGGCAGTGGATGAGGCGGGGGAGGGAAGGAAGGGCACTTTGGAGAGTGATATTTAATCAAGCTAGTTGCTAACCATGAGGTCTGTGGGGTGTCTGATGGACACAACAGGACAGCTGAGAGTCAACCGGGTGCTGTACGTTGTGTTCGGCTCTGCGAGAACTTTGTTTTGTCTTCTTTCAAGCAGTATCCCCGGATTTAGCTTCGTTTTGCGAGGTTTCAACCTGTCTGCCTGAGCTAGTCATCAAGGGGTGTTGTGGGTAGTGTTGTTTTGATATGGTCGCCTTTGGTTGCTTTCTTTTTAAGTTTTGGGACTGATTAGTTGGAGTAAATCAACTGAGCATGGCGTATCACTGAGCATAAAGTCAATCCATTGTCACTTGTTGACTTATTTGGTGGATTGACATTGAATTTTGGTCGTTTTGTGGTTATTTAGATGTTAGCAGAGTTATGCAGTGTGAATGTTGTAGTAGAAGTAGTTCACTACTGTAATCATGAGTCTTCTGAATTTTGTCAACCCATTGTATTGTGTGAATTGGTCTGGTGAATGTTTAGCTGATTGTTTGACTAAATTCTTCAGTTTGATCAAAGGCTTCACGAAGGTGTGAGGAAGATATAGTAGAATGTGATGAAGAAAACATGTATATCAAAACATGTTTGACAAGTTTTTAATGACCTGTATAAATATAATCACTTTTTCTAACACCTTGGCGATACAGTCAGTTTAGCTGACTAAGCCACAATTCTTAGTCATCAGGATCCATTGCCATGTTTTGTTTGAATAACTGCTTTTTGTTAAGGGTTTGGGTCCGTGTAGAAAAATGCGTTTTCACCCCAAATGACTACTACCGTAACTTAAATTCAAAGGGGATTGAGCTGGATTTTATTTGATAGATATCCATTCTGCCCACTCTTCTGTTTTATCTTCTTTCAAAATGATGAGTAACAAGGACGTTTTTCTTTTACCAAGCTATATTACCAACAAGATGAGAAAAATCTAAATGAAAATGGCTTTTTTTAAAGCCTCTCTATTAAGTGAATGTTCTAGGTTAATCAAAAGTGTGTATATAAAGTATGGCTGTGCGATTAATCAAAATAGAATTGCCATCGTAGTTTGAAACATTGCATTTAGCTAATCGCAAGAGGTTGCGATATGAAATGTGTATTTTTTAAATTCGTCTCTACCCAGAGCAAATGCATGACTGTCGTCTGTGTGTGACAGTCTTACTAGCCAATTGAGTGAGCACACTTTCGTTCTACCCAATCAGAATTGTGCAACCAAACTATGCAGAACGCCTATAATAAAAACAAACAAACAGGAAAGCGCAGACGTGTAGGATGATGGCATCTGTTGCTTCAGAAGAATTAACAGATATATTAATATTTAAAAAAAACTGCACGTTGGTAATATGGGAAAATATGGGGGGTGTTTGGGTCAATTATGCTGAAAAATAGTTTGTGACAGAACTTCACTCAAAAGTCTATATTCTTTCTGTCATTAATTACTAACACTCCCATCATTTCAACCTTCAGAAAACAAATTTATTTTATAATATGGAGAAGGAATAAATTATGAAAATTGTGAAATCAAAGAAGATCTGAAGAGCGAGGAGGGATCCGGGGGTGAGAATGGTGTGCGACTTATTTGAGGACTGGGAGGGAAACGCGTGATTTCCGGGTGTTGGGAGATTATCACTTGTTTGCGGGCATTATAAGTCCCGCAAATGCATAGAGACTCCGGAACTTTCAGGAGGCTTGGGAAGTCTGAATAGCACGTTTAACAACTATAGTGAGACGCGATCCAGCGCTACATCCTTTATAAACTCTCTGACGTGCACTGCTCTCTGCCTGGAGCGCATTACTGTGTGTGTGTGTGTGTGGTCACGTGATGTGCGTTTTCAGCGGACGGAGGGCTGTTCAGAAATCCTAGGTAAAACGGTGTGGATGTGAATCATTTTCGTTCTAAAATGCCATTTTAACACTAAGACGTACTATTGTAAACAGAGCCTGAGTGTGTATTTTTCACAAGCGGGTTTGCGACGGGAGCAGGGTGATGGATCGCGATGCCGGCTCAGCATCGTGTTGTCTATTTGCCATCGGCGATGGACGATGGCATCGTCTATCGGCCCAACCCTACTGGATATTTGAAGTGTTTGCCTATTTAACACGTATATTTTTGAAACAAACCCTAAAAATAGCTTGGTTCACCTCTCTCATTCAGCATGAATCCAAAATTTTCCCAGATTGGCGATGTAACATTTGGTTCTCCAACGAGGTTTATGGCTGAACTTGAACTTGCTGAATCGTGCCTAATGTTATATTCTAACAGAAATGTAATACTTGGCAACATAACGCAAATTTGTGTTTTAGAGTGCGTGATGTCACATACTACCGGTGACATGAACAACCATAAGAAAAATCATCACAAAGGCACCAGGAGATAACATAATTCACGATCTCGCTAACATCACAGTGCCTTTTAATGCAGTTACTAAAGAGGGATTTAAAAATCCCATCCAAATGCTGGATAGGAGATATACACTTCTGTCTCACACATTTTTGCAGTACCACAACAGTACGCTGAATGTTGTGATATTTTGTTTAGCGTCTGTGATAATTATTTTGTTTTTAGACAACATAAGCTACAGTACGGCTCTTATCAGCCATGTTTGTTTGCTGAGTGCTCTGTATTTTTATAATTCTGATTTTCTTTGTTACTATCTCCCTAATTTAAGTTGAACTCAAGGCCACTTTATTTGTTCTTACTGTTTGCTCTAGAGGAAAAAAAATATGTTTAATTTCTGAATATTTAAAGACAAATTTGAATGAATGTTGGAGTAAGTTCATATCTTTTCAGTTCCTTTATAACAAACACTCACTGCAATTTAACAACAGATAAGAAACAGATACAGAGTTATGAGGTGAATCTTAATTACAAAATTAAATCACAAATCGAACCAAAAAATGCAATATCTGTCAAAAAGTTTTTTTTTTATATTTGTCCCCAAATCGCACAGCCGTAATATATTGCATAAAGGTTCTGGAAGTAAATGTCTTAATTTTCTCTTATAGCAATGTTAATCTTTCTTGACCAATCTGACAGTATTTTGGGAAATGTTAATGTTAAAAAGTGTCTAATTTGGTGGGATTTCACCTTTTTTAATTTTGGGGTGGGATTTCACAATTTTAAAGAGTTAAAATACACAATTGGCCATAATTTGATGCATATTAGAACTTTGTTGCTAAATTCGAACTACATATATGTAAATATTTTGTAATGTACAAATAAATATATGATAGCCTGTTTAATATCTAATGACACTGTGTCAAGAGTCTTGATGCGTCAATATTTCCTTGTTTGATTATTCCATCAGTATTTAAAATTCCTAATCCTAATGGAGATAATGAAAAGGCCAGAACATAAACATCATCTGAAGCATCTTGATTACCACTAAAAGTTACTTTAAGTTCCTCTTGAGTTTGAAGACTTTGCCTTTTTGCTGCAATCTATAAGAACATGCATGTTTCTCAAAGACTGTTTGATGATGAATTATTTATGTTGTTCAATAAAACGTAAATTAGATGGGATTTTGAAACTTGAACATAAATTTTGTGGTGTTCTGAGTTGCTATTATAATGAAAGCATTATCTGATGAACACATTAATGACAAATCACAAACATGTTCACTGTGCTGCTAAAGGGAACAAGAGGAACAGGAACGAGAGCTTACAGAGTTCATTTACAACATGAATTACTGTCTGGTGAATAAGATATGCTGAATTAGAACACATGAATCTGTAAACACTTATTCCCAACTCTTCGAAACTTGTTTTTCAATCACAAAGTTCTGCAGTAAGACATTAAATATGCACTTCGTTTCAAGTTTGTAATATGCGTTCTCAGTAGCAGGCCATGCACTTATCTAAATAAATATAAAATCTTTATTTTGGGTACTTTTTAAACTGATGCAATACACTATAAAGCTGGGAGAATATAGAAATGTGAATGTATAATGGCTGAAACAATGTTGGGCTCAGGATGATGAAGGACATTAAGGCCCCGTCTACACTAGTGTTGTAGAATGAAAACGATCCGCGTCCACATTCGCGTTTTACCCAGCGTTTCTGAACTGCTCTCCGTCCACACCAAAACGCTGAAAACGCACATCACGTGACCACACACACACTCTCGGGCAAGCGCTCCAGCATTTCTACCCAGATGAGAGCTCTGCCTGTCGGACTGCTCATCAAGCATCTCCCGCTGGATCTGATCTCGCTATATTTGCTAAACGTGATATTTCATTCATGTTGTTGTCTTTATCTAACGACATAGGCCATTTCCCTGACTTTGGTCATTGGAATCTATTAAGTTACTTGTTCACGGGTAACATGTTTTGGTTAAGCGCAAAGATAAGTTAATGATTAATCCAGGTACATTGACTGATCGCTTGCCTTTATTTCCTACAATGTATAAACTTATTGTATGTTATACTTTTATAATTATCGATTATTAAAACTGATATTCAGCAAAAGAGAGGGTGCGTTTCGTATTTTCACTGAAATTGAAAGGAGGCAGTTGTTATCGGCTCCGTTTTGTTATAAATATCCACACAGTGAAGATGACGCTCATAAATGCAGCACAACGCCTCAACATTTCTGCTGTCTGTTAAGTTGCTAATATTAAAATGAAAATAGGCAGTTCCTTAAATCATGTTTACATTTTATTGTTGAGAAAGTGAAACAACGTA